GGGCGGGGCCAAACAAAAAGGTCAGGAAATCAGGGGGGCGGGGCCAAAATAACAGGTCAGGTGTCAGTTGATCGGGGTGATAATTTGATATTAAAAATATGACAGACCCTGACTCGTGACAGACCCTAACTCATGACAGACCCTAACTCGTGACGGACCCTAACTTGTGGCGGACCCTAACTCGTGACAGACCCTAACTCGTGGCGGATCCTAACTCGTGACGGACCCTAACTCGTGACGGACCCTAACTCGTGGCGGACCCTAACCCGTGGCGGACCCTAACTCGTGACAGACCCTAACTCGTGACAGACCCTAACTCGTGACAGACCCTAACTCGTGGCAGACCCTAACTCGTGGCAGACCCTAACTCCTGTCAAACCCTGACTGGTGTTGGACCTTGCCTGTGGCAGACCCTTACTGGTGTTGGACCTTGCCTGTGGCAGACCCTGACTGGTGTTGGACCTTGCCTNCCTTGCCTGTGGCAGACCCTGACTGGTGTTGGACCTTGCCTATGGCAGACCCTTACTGGTGTTGGACCTTGCCTGTGGCAGACCCTTACTGGTGTCCGGTGAAGGTGCGGTCTCACCATCAGAGCTTTGTCCATGAAGAACTCCTTCCCTGGAGTGCCATCGTTGTACTTGGTGTCGATGGCGAAGCACAGGAAGAGGACGTCCACCACGATCTCAAAGATGGACAGGAAGCAGTGAGCCACCAGGAAGGAGAAGAGACACACGATGACGAGCGGCAGCAGCCACTCTGCGTAATCCCGCTGGTAGTTCAGGAGCAGGACGCCGGCGAACGCTGTTGACGTCATGATCAGGATCTGAGGAAACGGGTTTTCGGACACACAGAGCTGTCTGTTAATATTTGTTTATTTTTTTTAATCATATTTTCACCAGAATGAGACCAGACTGGAAAAAACGCTTACCTTCCCCAGGAAGAGCACAAAGTCTCCGACGGCGTTGATTGTGGCGACGCGCAGGGCGTTCTCCACCAGGATGACGAAGGCGTCGCGTGCCGACGTGCAGAAACTGGTGCTGTTGATGGCTGTGGCTGCATATGCATTCTGGGAAAAATAAAAAGATCAGATGGAGGTGAGAGGGGAGGGGCTAGGTGAGGGGGGAGGGGCTAGGTGAGAGGGGAGGGGCTAGGTGAGAGGGGAGGGACGAGGGATAATGAGATGCGATTACCTGATTCAGGTAGTTGAGGCACTTCTCCAAACACCACAGGCAGCAGATACAGGATTTGAGCAGGCAGCGAGCGAACACGTTCTCCTGGGAACAACCAGCGGGTCACAAGACATCAGAACAGAACTTTTTTTGGGTCCAAAATAAATAAATAAACATCCTAACAGAATCAGGCCAGTGAAGGGCTCATACCCGTCCTTTGAGCTGGTTGTGGATGTACATGAGGACGAGTCGGGGAACTTTCACCAGCGTGATGATGAAGGACCCCTTAGCAACGGTACCCAGGTGGTACCGGACCAGCCTCAGAACCGAGGACAGGATCGGGGTCACCGGGAGCCGGTTCTTATCCCTGAAACACAAAAAGCTTTTTTGTTTAGATCTTGAAGAGGCGGTCGGTAGGTCAGAGTCCAGATCCAGCATCCATTTGGGTCCCGTCTAGCTCCACAGATCCAGCTGGAAGTTCGGGTCAGGTGTAGATCTTGTGCCATCAGGTGTTCAGACTCACCTGGTGAAGTAGTAGGTGACCACAGCTCCGGCTACAGTCATCTGCTGACAGGCCAGGATGAACTCGCTGATCCAGACCAGACCCACGGCGTGGTACCAGGTCAGGTACTGAAGAGGACCCGTCAGTCTGAACTCTGTTAGTCCTGTCTCCTCATTCTGCTCCGGGTTCCCTGCAGAACCAATCAGAACCGATCAGAACAGAGCTGCAGTTCCACCTGTCGGCCAGCAGAGGGCAGTCTGTAGCTGGTGAACACAGACTGAAGAACTTGCCCGTGTGTGTGTGTGTGTGTGCGTGCGTGCGTGCGTGCGTGCGTGTGCGTGCGTGTGCGCGCAGCGGCTAACCGGTGGTCCCCAGGAACAGCAGCACCAGGATCCAGTAGACCCAGAAGAGGAGGAGTGCAAGGAAGGTGACGAAGGGCTGCAGGGTGAGGAGGGGGAGGTGGATGAAGACTTTGCCGGCGACGTGGAACAGAGCGATGGTGAGCGCCACTCGTTTCCTCATGAAGAGCATCAGCAGGAGCAGGATGATCTGCGCGCACACACACACACACACACACACACACACACACACACACACAGAGTCAGCGCCACGCTCTGCGCCCCGGCGGCAGCGTTTGTTTCGCCGTCATACGTACGGTGAAGATGGTGGCCGATGCGGCGTACACGAGCAGCGCCTGACCGCTGTCCCTGCTCGGCTCCTCCTTCGACTCCTCCTTCGACACCTTGGAGGACGTGTCGTTGCCGTACAGCCGGTGGTCGATGTAGAGCCACCAGAGGACGCTCGTCCCCGCTGAGACACACAAACGCTTCAGGTGAGACATGAAACGGACAACCTGCCCGCACAGGAAGTGACCTCACCAAGGGATCCAAGGACGACCAGCGAAGTGAGGATCCAGACGAGGACGGCTGAGATGTAACGAATGATCACCATGAGAATCATGGACAGGACTGAAAGACAAGAGGACAGCAGTGACGGTGTGTTGCGTCTCGGGTTACAGGAAGTGACATCACGGCCTGTTTTCAGCAAGGTTATTATAGTTTTGGATTTTTCAGTACAGTTTAGTTTTATTTTGTTGTGACTTTTTTTTAATTTAGTTAGTTTAAATTCGTTTTTACAGTGGATTTGCTAGTTTTTATTAGTTATTATTGATTTTTTAATTCTTAGTTTTAGTTTAGTTTTATTAGTTATTATTACTTTTTTAATGCTTAGTTTTAGTTTAGTTTAGTTTTATTAGTTATTATTACTTTTTTAATGCTTAGTTTTAGTTTAGTTTTAATAGTTCCAGTTAGTTTTTTATAGTTTGAATAAACATATTGATGCATCCTCCAGCTTGTGATGTTCCTGTGAGTTAACTAACCAACAGATATTTGGTCTCTAGTTAAATCAGTCCATTATAGCAACAACTTACTAAAATAATTGTGTACCTCGGTTTAATTAACTAAAACTTCAGTGATTATTTCAGGACGATGACAACAGTTTGTCTCCAACCTGTTGTTTGTTTTTCATGGAGCTGCTGAGAGAAGCTAACGTGTCAGATAGTCACAGTTAGCATCTTGTGTGAGTTTGATTCATGCAGTTTTTCTCTTCAGAAGTATTCCACCTGTTTTATCACCTGTTTCCACTACAAAACACTTGGTTTGATTTTTCTCTCAGTCAGATTTAAATCACAAAGTGGACGTTGTTGTTTTCTCCCAACTTTTACTGTCGTCATTTAGCAAATTGACAAACATTAAAACTAAGGATATTCTGTCTATAATTTCAGTTAGTTTGGTAAAAAGATTATACATTTTCAGTGAACTATAATAACCCTGGTGTTCAGCTCTCACCCAGCGCCAGGACGCACAGCCCGATGATGATCTCCTTGCTGGCTGCGACGCCGGCGATCAGTCGGTGCAGGACGCTGCTGTCCCCCACGAACGTCACCACGGCCTCCGCAAACTTGGCGTAGCAGGAGACGTCCACCGGGGTGCAGCGGTTAAAGACCGGCAGCGGCTTGCTGAGGACAGACGCAGAGGTCAGAGGTCAGGGGGAGAGGACGGGCGTCCCTGAACTGTCTCTGAGGGGCGACGAGAGACGTACCTGCGTGGGACAGGAAGTTTGGGACATTTGGAGAATCTCTCGGGGAGGCCGGGATATTTGTGACCCGCTAACTCGTAGGAACACAGCTCTGAGCCTGAAACAGGAAATACATCTTCATCATCATCATCATCAGCCTGAAACCTCTGGACACAGGTGAGACAGGTGAGCTGGCTCCTCTGTGGGACAGAGGCTCCTCACACACGGCGGCTGTGAGGTCATGTGATCAGATGTGCGTCACGTTTCACAGACAGTGAACGCTCTGAGTCACAGAGTGGCACCAGTGACTCACAATGARGCGTTTGTGTTACAGTACAGAGTGTGCGTCTGTGCGGTCCTGTTCCACACGTCTGTGCTGAACTCACCGTTGACCATGGCGAACCTCATCAGGTCCTGGTAGGTCTTCAGCTCCTCAGAGGGACACAGCGAGACGCACAGYGCCATGGACTTGATTTTCCTCTGGACGATGTCGATGTTGCAGGGATCCAGGAAGAAGACGAACCTTCAGAGACAAAACACAGAAACGTGTCTGAAAGACTCACYTGTTTTAACTCTGAATGACTCGACGCTTTCAGGTGTCCTTCAGGTCATGTGACCAGCTGTCAGCTGTTTACAGACGTGTTCTGGTTGCTTTAGAGCTCTGCAGCCAGTCGCACCAGTTTCATGGGAAACAGGAGAGTTGCAGTAAAAAACAGAACAGCCGAGCACAAAAAACAGAGGAGAGGTGGGAGAAAACATGTGACTCAGCACAACAACAAACCAACACAAACATGTGACTCAGCACAACAACAAACCAACACAAACATGTGACTCAGCACAACAACAAACCNACATGTGACTCAGCACAACAACAAACCAACACAAACATGTGACTCAGCACAACAACAAACCAACACAAACATGTGACTCAGCACAACAACAAACCCACAGAGTTAAACATTCGCTGCTTCGCTCCCACAGATCTCAGACCCAGGATCAGACCACCTGGAACCACTCCAGACCACCTCAGACCTTGTTAAACCAAGGGGCGGAGCCAGAGGGGTGGCCAGMGTGGCAAGTGTCACCCCAGGCATCTGATTGGCCACCCCAGGTGCCCACCTTAAATGACTGACAGGTGGGGGATCACATTTGGCAATAACAGATGGTCCGTTAGAGATAAAAACAAAGTAAATATCTGTCCTGCAGCTGGATTATCTAGAGAAGAGGAGACCTGTCTCTTTACTAAACCCCTGAATTAATATAAAAGCAACAATTTCACCAAGTTTCAGCTCAATATAAAAAAAAAACAAATCACAAAAATAAAATGTACGGCGACAAAAAGAAAAAAAATCTTAAAATATCTGCGCCTTTTTTTCTCAAAAAATAAATTTAAACAATAATGATCTTCAAACAAAAACTAACAAACAAAAAACATGCACAAATGGCACAGACAAATATGCATAAATAAAACTTAGCTGAATTGTAACCATCTGAAGTTAGCTTTGGTGGCCATCTTGGATTTCTTATTTACAATCAGATTTTGTTAAAGATTATTCTTGGCTACTACTAAATAAATGTTGTGTATTTATTGGCTGAATTATAGCCTTTTGTTAAATTAGCATTAGCGGTTAGCTTAAATTGGGACCAGCAATCATTCTTGTCGACACCGCAACAAAACATTTCAGCTCAATTAGTCTTAAAATGTGAATTGTAGCCATTTAAATCCAGCTGTGGTGGCCAAGCTTAAATGTTCAAATCCAGGATAGTTTTCTTTATTTATAGTGCCACCCCCCCCCCCACACCCCCACACACACACACACACACACACACACACGACACCTTGACCACCTCTGTGCCACTTTGTACAAAAAGTCTAGCTCTGCCCATTTAATCCCCCCAGGCTTCCTCAGTCCACCTCAGTCTGTGTCGGACCTTGTTAATCTCCTCAGACCTCCTCGGTCCACCTC